GGGTTGAATAAAACTGACGAATCTCGACGGTTGAAATAAGCCTATTCCCCATATGAAATAATTTGGGATTTTATTGAGTACTAATTATTTGCTCTGTAATAATAAATACATTGAGCTCTTTTCGGGGATCAGTTTTAATATTCTATATTACTAGGATCCACTTGGATTATATACTAACGGATGTATTACTTTTACATTATATATATATATATATATATATATATATATATATATATATATATATGAAAAGGAGAAAAGGATAAGCACCTTAAAAATGTGTGTGCCTAAGATTGCACACCGAAAAAGAGAGTGCTCAATGCCATAAAAAATGGTAGACCTTTAATATATTTTAAGTCAAATTTCAATTGGGCAGTAAACAGTTTCATGTGCTTTCACGCAATCATATATATGTGTGTGTGTGTGTGTGTGAGAGAGAGAGAGAGAGAGAGAGAGAAAGCGAGAGAAAGAGAGAGGGGAGAGAGAGAGCGGGAGAGATTGTGTTGAGAGGGAAAAGGAGGGATGAGCTCGTCGCGTAATGGTTATCGCCTCGTAAAGAAGCGTTGATACGCAGTGTTCAAATTCCAGACATTACTTCTAATTCCAGCTGTTACTTTCGCACAAATAACCTCGGGGAGGGATTTTTTTTATTTTTACTAACGTTTACCCAATACAAGACCCAAGAGCCACTCAGTGTAGAGGTTTACGGTGTGGATTTATATAAGCGTAGGAAAGAACAAGCGTTAAGAGTATAAAGCTGAAGCAACATTAGAAGGAATCGGAAACCCAACTCTAAACAAGAAACAGGGGAGGAGTATGAACCAGACGATAGGCAAACCGAGAATGAATCAACTTATATATACCACCCCCCACACATACACATCAATACAGTTTAAATAGTAGAGTAAACTAGGTTATCTAATCTTTGTTGGCAACCTATCTAGGAGAAGTAAAATTTTGTATTCAAAGCTGGGGAGGTCTGTTTATTAAAGTTATTATGGCACACTGTAGTATTTCTCAGTCATCAATTCTTTAGACAAGTGTAACTGCTTTTTCACGAGACGCCATCACAATAATCAAATCATATGTGTAGATAGTTTGTCCGTTGAGTTCTCAAAAAACGAACTGTTCGTTCCTTATACGTCGAAATACGACGGCAACGCCTACGAGACTATATACATATATATGTGTGTGTTTTTTTTGAGTATGTTTCTATCGATACATACATATATTCACATATCAAAATTTTTCTTTTTTTTTTTTACTGTATGAAAATAATATAGGCTTCTTGAAAACAATATATTGGTCTGAGTTGCAGGGCAGCCATTTTGACATCTGGCATTTAGCTCGGGAAATTGGCGCGAAAAATAATGGCGGCTTTTAACAGGCAACATCATTACATTTGATTTATGGTCATAAATTAAGAGACTGTAGCCACGGTTATAATCAGTCGATTAACTTTTTGTGAATTTGGAAACGGCGGATTGTTTATTTGCGCGGGTCTATGGCTCTGATTGCTTCTTGCAGTGGGTTTGGCTGCGCATATATAATAAAAGTCTATACAAATCTGAATGTACCTATACACTTCAATCTGTTTAATTTCATGCTCATATATATATATATATATATATATATATATATATATATATATATATATATATATGAGCATGAAATTATACAGATTATTATATATATATATATTACAGTTGAAAGGAGGAATATATATATTTATATACATTACAGTTGAATGAAAGGATATATATATATATATATATATATATATATATATATATATATATATATATATTACAGTTGAATGTAGGAAATATATATTTATATATATATTTACAGTTGTATGCAGGATATATATATATATATATATATATATATATATATATATATATATATTACAATTGAATGGAATATATTCGGTCGGTGCAAAAATAATGACGTAATAATATCGTTTTTGACGTTAGAAAATACGTCAAAGAACGACATTATTACGTCATTATTTTCGCACCAACCTAATATATATTTATATATATATTACAGTTGTCTGCAGGGATATATATATATATATATATGCTTGGGTGTGGGATGAGATTTAAGTTTCGTTGTTTTACCAACTCATAAGGAACGAAATATAACTTATGATTTGAAAAGAAATATATATACTGGTTCTCATGGGAGGAACACTAAATTACACGCAGTTTCCGAACTCAAATTTAAAATAAGTCAAATAAAATAAATTCAGAAAATAAGCTCAAAGTCGGGGCCATTAAAAAATTAAAAAAATTAAACGCAATTTTAAAGTTTAAAAGAGGAACGCTGGTCGACACTTTGATTAGTAAAATACGTTTAATTAAAGTTGGGTAATAAATATATAACCTAAAATAAGGGATGTGAAAGCGAAGTTTGAATATTATATTTATCCAGAATTATAAGACTTAAGAAAGAGCAGATATTTTATATATCGTGCGCAATATTAAAATAATATAAAAAATAGAGCTTTAATAATATTATATGAAAAGATTACTTAACTTTTAAATATCAATTTTATCCCGACTTCGAAGTTTCTTGGTAAATTTCCAGTCTTCAGGGGCTGTGGTTTTAAATGGCATTCAATTTTTCAATTTTTTTCAATTTCAAAAAATCTTTGTGTGGCAATATATGTACATATTTATAAGTTTTTAATTGGGTGCATCTGACTGTAGTATTTAATCTAACATATATAATTTTATAATTATCTTCATACACACATACTTCCAATTTCATACACACACACACACACAGAGAAAACGCGCACACACAGACACACACACGCACACACACACACACACACATATATATATATATATATATATATATATATATATATATATATATATATATATATAGCATAGCAGCATAAAGCGATGCCGGTGCTTGATTAAAAAAACGTACGACTCATATACAGCAATCCCTATCACGTGACTTAAAATATTTTTGCCCTTCCTTGCCTTTAAAAGAGTGCCCTTTGCCGTGCTGATGTTGCTACATGCCTTACTTCTTGCCTATCTCACACTGCGAATTTTTTCTAAGCTCTATACTAAACAATAAATCTGTTACGAAAATAAAACTAAACAAAATGAACACAAAACGATCAGCTTTAAAAAAGGACTCGTAACTGGAAAAACCGAATGAAAAAAGAATGTTAAAAACAAATACTTTTTCACACCCAACCCAGTTCTTCGGAATCAGAATCAACGTTGACTTTAAGCAAGCAAGTGAGCCAATTTGAGTAAAGTGCCATGCAGATTTAAATTTTTCCCACTTGTGACGAATGCAGCTATCGATGTTTTTGCATGCTAGCATGCTAGTTAACATTCGTGCCAGTCAGCTGTTGGCTCTCACGCTGGCTAATAGAATCTTCCTGCCTATTCGTGGCAGTCAGCTATTGGCTCTCACTCTGGCCAGTAGAAAATGACAACAAACTACATGAAAACTGCCGTAGAAGCATGAAAAAATCGATTATTTCCACTATCGATGGGAGTTGGGAAATGCCAAGTCGGTCTTGGCATTTCCCGCTAACTTGGAGCATGTGCATGTAAATTTTGGTGCAAATCCGTCGAATATTGCGGCCGTGCATTCGTCACACACACACGCACACACACAAACACACACATATCCTGCCTTATATATATATATATATATATATATATATATATATATATATATATGAAAAATTTCTCAGAGTTAAGCTGTAGAAAAAGACAATATTTATAAAAGTAAAAGACAATAGGAAAACTGTAATAGTTGCCGACGTGTTTTGTCCGACGTGGACTTTTTCAAGGCAAAAACGAAATGAATTTATTTAAACAAACTAACTAATAATACCAAAAACAAAATGTCCTTAGTAACTGGAAGAATTTAGAGAACGCTATTTTCATACTGTTAACTGAAAATTGCGTCAGTTACTGTCACGTGTGGAAATATTGTTTTCATTGCTGTGTTGACGGATTCAACCATTTTCTTTTGATTCCTTGATACTGTTGTGTACGTTTGTTTGGGGGAGTAGTAATTCTGTTAAGGAAAGTGAAATAATAATAATAATAGGTTAAAACACTTCCAAAACCATTATGGATATACTCAGATTCTCAAACACTAATAGCAATAATATTTTTGAAGCAGGCATTTATAAAATAAATTGCCAAAACTGCTCCTCACAATATATTGGAGAAACAAGTAGAAATTTTTAAAAAACGCATTTATGAGCACAAAAGAGACCTCACAAAAAAAACAACTTAGCTAATGCACTAGTCATACATAGAAATAAATTCAACCATAATTTTGATTTTAAAAATGCTACACTTATAAAAAAAGAAAATAACTCACTTAAAAGGAAAATTCTAGAGAGTGCTGACATTGAATATTACCCAAATATTAATCTACGCCCAGTCTTATTTTCTTCCTGTGATCTACCTAAGATCTACTAAATTCGACTAACCTCAAGCTGTGAGCGTACACTGACACTAATGTATGCACATCATGTTAAAGTAATCGACATACTTTACATCACGTGCTCCCTGCGTGCCTACAATCACTGCAGATGTACACATGGTGTTATAAAATAGTGGAAAGTGGTTAGTAACTTAGTACACAGTGTAAAGCAGTCAACAAATAGCTTGTAACGTCCTGTTGTGGAGTTATTTCGCAGTGGAAGCTTGTATTTGTACTAAGTCAGTCCTAAAATAGGTTAGACGTACAAAACGTTAGGAACTTGATATAGTAGGTATTACGCAGAGTAATCTTGTTGTGGTTGCTGGCTACTTTCGAATTCGACTACTGTCGTCCGACATCGACTGACATCGATTGACCCTCGTTTCTCTTACTACTCCTTCTTATATTAGGTGGAAAAGTCTATTAACTATAGAATAGGTGTGTTTCACCATAACACGTCCAGAGAACTCCCAAACCACTACTCGCTGGGTAAATCCTATTTTCATCTATCTGTACATTATAGTATGCTTCTGTTTCTTTCTTTCTGTATAAGTCTGTTCATATCTATCTATCTATCTATCTATCTATCTATCTATCTATCTATCTAGTGACGCAATATAACTTTTTATTATGCTGAAAATGTTTTTCTACTCACCGGAGATTAAATGCACAGCTAATATATTTGAACTGCACTAAATAATCAATGATCACATAGAGAACTCAATACGTCCACCGATTCTAAAATAGAGTCTCTCTATCAAAATTAGCCCCTGCATCTATATTAATGAGTCGCAGGCTTAAATTCATGTATTCGAGGCACCAAGGACAAAAGCTCATCAGGGCAGTTGCCATGAAAATGTTTGTAGAAAAGACAGAGGGAAGCTGTTGAGCCAGAAGTAGCTTTTAAGCGGGAAAATTGAGGTTTTGAATAGCGCGGAATTTGTTGGCATCTCTCTGGCCGTTATGCTCTGACTGCATTAGTTAAGACGGGAGTTCTTGAAGATTACATCTTGGTACTTGGTAGCAAGGAATGAGACGCAGAGGGAGAGAGAGATGAATGAAAAGAAAAGAAACTCGAGGGAGTTTACACGTGTTCTCTTTATATATCATTGTGAATCACGTGACTGGCTCAGATGGAAAACGCGGCAAAACAGATTTGTCGCGTGCAGGCGGTTTGATTGGTCGGAACTGACCAATCAGCAAGCCACATTGAAGGTGATTAACCAATGGATGCTTGTTATATATTTGTAAGATTGTGATGGTGAAAATTATAACAGGAATAGTGCATTTCCTAGCGGGGGTTAACTGGCTTGTTGTGGAAGAGTCTTGCGAATGTATATTTGGTTTTTGTCAGAAGAATTTGAATGAATCAGAAGGAATCTTTTGATTAGCGTGTAGGAAAACATTCATCCTCAACAAAGCCACGTTACATCGGTGAGACAGTGACTGAAATCGCGATGCCGGGTCAGGATCGATTACATTACAGATCCTTCTTTGAATTTTGTCAAGAATCTCTAGATGTACAACAGAAGCATTAAACGAGATATGACATCAGTATTCAATGTACGAACGAACGGTAGATTTATAAATGTACAAGATGAACTTCCGGTCAAACAAAGACAGTATAGTGCCTTCAAATAAAAGCTCTATTTTTTAATTGAACAGACCGGAAGTCATACGTGGCTAAACTGTCAAGTATGTCAGATGCAATGACTGTTTTCCATAGGTTTAATTCTTACCGGAGGACGGATATTTTTCTGACAAGATTTCTTGAATATTCAGATCGGTAGATGTAGTTGAATAAAAAATATTGTTTAATGAAATAAATTATACCTCAGTCTCTGACAAATAGAAAGTAATCTCAGAGGGTGTAGGTAGGTGAGTTATTTTTTCATGTCACGATAAACCGGAACATAGACAGGTCATCATTGACGAGTGCGAAAAATATGTCAGCGACAAATGTATCGTATGCAATGTGCCGCTGACATATTTTCCGCAATCGTCAATGATGGCTTGTCTATGTTCTGGTTTATCGTAACATGAAAAAACCCACCTCCACCTTCTGGGCTTAATTTTCTATTTAGCGAGGATCTGGTTTTTCATTGGTTTATCAAGACATACCCACAAGTCTATTTTTTAATTCTGACCGTATGCCCCACTTTAACTTTCAGAAAAGAGACAACACCATGTTTTTAAATTTCCTTAAAAATCATTTAATCACCAGTTACTTACCCTCGCCTGAAGAAGTACAATCATGGTATTGAAATATGAAAGCTTTTGTATAGCGATGTCAACATGTTTTTATTATAATCTCTTTTATATATATATATATATATAACGATATCAAAGATAGTATGAAGCCCAAAATACTGACAGTCAATGAGATACTGAGAGAAAAGATATTTAAGGCAATAAGTCTTTTGCAATAAAGTGATGGATATCAAAGACAGAACATTAACAGAACTTATATAAGTAAAATTATGTCAATTCGCTGACTGATGTTACATTCAGCCTCCACCCAACTCCAGAGTTTCGTAGACAAACCCGTCTGTCCACTCTTCAGGGGATATATATATATATATATATATATATATATATATATATATATATATATATATATATAGAGAGAGAGAGAGAGAGAGAGAGAGAGAGCCAGACAGACCTACCCTAGGGTTTCACCTAAGCGGATAGTCAGAGAAAGCTTTTCCTGGCGATCCGCTTAGGTGAAACCTAGGTAGGTTTGTCTGGCTCACTAGGTGTATCTAGGTCTGCTCTACGGTTGTATCGAGCTCTTTTGTTAGTTGTTTACTCGTATCGGGTTTTTTTTTGGGCTTCAAACCTGCATCTGTGATTTTTTTTGTCGGCAGAAGTTCATGTTTGTAGCTCTTTTTTTTTTAAAACCTTTTTCCCTCGAGATTGATTTGATTATTGGCAAATCAAAAATTCGAAGGTTTTTCGAAACGAGTATAGTTATTATATATATATATATATATATATATATATATATATATATATATATCAGCGAATGCTCAGCCTGTCGCGGTACTTTACATCTGACCAACGGAAAAACATCAGATTGTTTTCTTGGTCGTGTTGAACACCTTTTTGCACGCTCTCACATTCACTTTTTTAAACTCTCCCATTGCGAAATGAAAGGGCAATATTATTTTTGAGGTGAGCGATTGACCTTGTTATCCGCCATTTGCAAAAATCCGAATGTCTTCCTTATGGACAATAATGCATGAGTTTCTCTCATTTCTCTATTCATTTCAACGCAAGCGAGGAAATGACGATGAGTTCTTTTTTGTGTTTGGTTCTTTTTTTTTGTCTTTCTTCTTTCCAAATTTGGTTTTATTTGTTCTTTAATATTAAGAAGTGCTGTCTTTCCGCTGTTTCCAATGCAAAATAGAAGTGAGAATTAGGCTTTTCGTTGTCTTTAAGATCATCAGTGTTTCTTTTTCTTTAATTTCTTTTTTTTTTTGTCCACACTTTTCTCGTTTTATTTCTCTCGATTATATTTTTTTTCCTAAAAGTAGAAGACTTTCTTTCATCTTTCTTTTCCCCACCCGACTTAGAACATTTTCCCAGAGCATTTCGTTCCCAATTAAATGTCTTTCTACATCTTTACATTATTTCTTATTGCATCTACTTTCTTCGTCGTTTTTCTTTATTTTCTTTCTTTCTTTCTTTTTTTTTCATTCTTTTTTTTTCTGTTTCGATCTATGTTTGCATCTGTCAAATTTATCGTCTTCTTATTTTCTTTCTTTTGCTATCTATGTGTTAAAGTTATTACCTTCTTTCTTTTTTTTACCTATCTATCCATCTATCTATATATTAAATTTATTGCCTGCTTTTCTTTCTTTCTTTTTCGTCTATCAAATTTCTTTCTTTTCTTCTTTATTTTTCTATCTAGCTAAATATATAATTTCTTTCTTTCCTTCCGGTTTTATTATATTATCTATCTAATGTGTTCTCTTCTTTCATTTTTCTTTCTTTCTTTCCTTCATTTATGCCTTTCATCCTTTCTTTCTTTTTCCTTGTCTTTCTTGCCTTCTTACTTTTAGTCGATTCCCACTTCTTTCTTTCTTTTTTCCTACACATTCTTAAATTTTTCCTCCTGTTCCTCCTCACTCTAAGTTTCTCTTTCTGTTGAACATCCCCCGACTACATTGATCCAATTTGTGTTTGTGTTTCCTTCCATTCCTTCCTTCCTTCCTTCCTTCCTTCCTTCCTTCCTTCAGTTCTTCCTCTCTCTTTCTTTTCTTAATTCCTTTCTTCCTTCTTTCTTTCTTTCCTTCTTTCATTGCTTCCTTCCTTCTTTCCTTCCTTCTATTCTTTCCTTCCTTCCTTCCTTCCTTCCTTCTTTATTTTTCTTCCTTCTTACCTTCCTTTCTTCCTTCCTTCCTTCTTTCCTCTTTCCTTCCTTCCTTCCTTCCTTCCTCTTTCCTTCCTTCCTTCCTCCTTCAGTCCGTCCTCTTTCCTTCCATTCCTTCCTTCCATTCCTTCCTTCCTTCCTTCCACTCTTTCTTTCCTGCCTTTCTTCCTACCTTCCTTTCTTCCCTCCTTCCTTCCTTCTTTCCTTCCTTCCTTCCTTCTATCCTTCCTTCCTTCTATTCTTCCATTCTTTTCTTCCATTCCTTCCTTCCTTCCTTCTTCCTTCCTTCAGTCCTTCCTCTCTCTTTCTTTTCTTCATTTCTTTCCTTCCTTCCTTCCTTCCTTCCTTCCTTCCTTCCTTCCTTCCATTCTTTCCTTCCTTCCTTCAATCCTTCCTCCCTTCCTTGTTTCTTTTGTTTTTATTCTGCTTTTTCTCTCATTTTATTCTTCCCGTCCGTTTTTACTTCTGTTCGTCTCTCTGAGGAATGTCTCCCTCAAACATTTCCCTCCCTCCACTTATTTCCTATTCTTTCTCCCTGTCTCTCTCTCTCTCTCTCTCTCTCTCTCTCTCTCTCTCTCTCTGTGTTCTTTCTTTCCTCTTCACAACCATTTTTTTCTTTCTTAACTAACTCTCCATAGAATGATATTGTTTTTTGTTTTGTTTTTTTGTTTCGCTTGGAAACAAGTAATAAGATGAATGAATCACGTGAGTTGTGGGTAGAGAGGCCGCATTAAGGAAATAACGGACGATGACGGTCCCAAGGCGGAGACACTTCGACAACAGAAGAACTACAACAACGAATCCACGACAAAAATATCATCATTCAATCCTGTTCAACGTACTCACGAAGTGCATTTGTACCAATTCTAACATAAAGTCTTCTGTAAGAATATGGAATTGTCGGGGTTCGATCCTAGATACGGGACAACTTTTTTTTTCTACTTACCTGTGTCATCGAGAAAAAATACACCCACTTCACTTAAAAACGTTCAAGTCGCGAACTTTCCGAGATACAGCAAAATCTATTTCTAAATTCAAATTTGGAAACCCGCACCTGTTCTGATGTTCAACCACCGCGTTATAGATTGTGTTTCAGGGACTGCTCAGCATCACCCTCCAAGCATGACGTACTTGATATTGCCTATCTGTGGCCACAGTGTTATCTGTGGCCATCAAAAGCACATCTAGTTGGTCGAATGTTTAGCGTTTTGATCATGAAGCCTAGGTTCGAATCTCACCGTAGGCGACCTGACAGAAAGATGGCTTCTTGAAAATATTGACCTGTGGGTATGATCCCACAGGGTATGGCACGATTTTCAAGTGCCTGAAATTCTGGATTCACCCAAGCTTTGTGCCTGGAAATGGATAGATGAAATCAATGTTTATATTAGCACGAAGTTGCAAGTCACTGTGACTGAGAGTATGAGCATACTGCTTCTGTTCAACTATTCATCATACCATATGACTCTCTCTCTCTCTCTCTCTCTCTCTCTCTCTCTCTCTCTCTCTCTCTCTCAGAAAGGTCCACACATCATAGTTGAAGAAAAAAACTGTGGGTGCATAGAAATAAAAATGTGTCTGAGAAGGCGACTGCAGTAGGGATTAGATAACCAGCCTAATCATATAAAGCCAGAATTATTTTTTTACGGGCATCTAACGTCGGAGTTTTTCTTCTCCAGAAAGGCTCAACGTTTTTTGTTTTTTAAGAAATTCTTCATTGCTGAATTTTCTTTAATTTTTTTTTTTTTTATGCTGTAAATGAATTGAAATTCGTTTATTTTTTCTTCCGTTTGTCTTTCCTTCCTTCCGTCCTTCCTTCCTGTCTATTCACCCGTGTCTAAAAAAGGAATTTCCGATAAGAAGGTATGTAGACATCTACGCCGGGGTGCGGGAATGCGAATATAGAAATTTGTAAATTTAACGATATATTTGCTCCACTTTAGTTCGATCTATAAATAAAATTTACGAATTAAAATCCCCACATTTACCTTCATAAAAATTCCTCACGTGACGAAACTCAAAATCCATTCAAGAACCATCAAGAGAAAGGAGAATAAGTTTTAAAAATAGGGGACTGTAGATGGGTAACTGAATCAGGAGGTCACAATAGCAAAAGGGATCATCATTTCAACTTAGAGCTAAAGAGATCAATTAGAAAATATCCAATTCAATTAATAAGAAGTTTGGCACGTGAGAGAGGAGTTTCAACTATGACAGTCCAAGAGCAGTGAAAAAAGACTTGAAAATGGAATTTTACGTGAAACCTGTGAGGCAACCTGTTAATCAAGGACAGAATGTTAGAAATTTAGAGAGGGCGAAAATCATCTTTAATAAGTTGGAAAATGTACCTAGGATAATATATATATATATATATATATATATATATATATATATTTGAACTTTATTTCATGAGCTTCCTATACTTAGCTATTATTAATTAATGATGAACATGTCATTTTCGTTTAGGATTGATTTCTTCAGGATTCTTCTGTTAAGCTTGGAGAATGATTATACATTTTTATCAAAGTAGAGTCCAATAGTTTTATAAAAACCTCGGAGAATTCCAGTTAGATATATTTAATCATTTCTAAGATACAACGGTTCAAACTTAATCTAACAATTGGACAATTTTGCTGTTACAACCGAGATATTTATATATATATGAAATTAATTTAATTAAAATTAGAAAACAGACAGCCTTCAGGGTCCATTAGTTATATTTTATTTCCTCAGAAAGGTGTTTTTTGTTTTTTTGTTTTGTTTTTCCTGGACACACCATTACAGGTCGGCCATTCAAAACTTAGATACAACATTACTCGACGGCCATTCAAAACATGGACATACAATTATTGGTCGCTCATTCAAAACACGGACACACTATTACTGGTCACCCATTCAAAATATGGAGACAGTGTCCCTGGTCACTGATTCCGAGGATGGACCAACTATTACTTATCGCCCATCAAAAACATGGACACACTATTACTTGCAGCCCATTCAGAACTTTCTACACACTATTACTAGCCGTTCATTCAAAACATGGACACGCTATTACTCGTCGCCCATTCAAAAGTTGGACACACTATTACTCGTCGCCGATTTAAAACATGGACACACTATTACAGCTCGTTCAATCAAAACATAAACACACTACTACTGGTCGCATATTCAAAGCTTGGACACACTATTACATGCCGCCCATTCAAAACATGGATACTATTACTGGTCGCCCATTCAAAAGTTGGACACCCTATTACTCGTCCCAGATTTAAAACATGGACACACTATTACTGGTCGCCCATTCAAAAGGTGGACACACTATTACTCGTCGCCGTTTTAAAACATGGACGCACTTTTACTGGTTGCCCAATCAAAATATGGATACACTATTACTGGTCGTTCATTCAAAAGTTGGACACACTATTACTCGTCGCAGATATAAACATGGATGCACTATTACTGGTTGCCCAATCAAAATATGGACACATTATTTCTGGTCGCCCATTTAAAACATGTATATGGTATTTTTGGTCTCTTATGAAATACATGGACACACTATTACTCGTCGCCGATTTAAAACATGGACACACTATGACTGGTTGCCCAATCAAAACATTCAATAAATATTTGAAGACAGTGGATGCCGACATGAAGACCGACCAGGTGCGATTGCTAATCGTGACAGTCTGTGGAATCGGCAAGCTCTGGTTATGTATATGTTATGTATAACGTAATGTAAGTGTAAATGATTTTACAGAAAGAATTAATTCTTCCTTCCTATCCGCGTCTCTTTAGTAAAAGATCGATCATAACTCAACCCAACTTTGGTCTTTTATATCTCTAAGGACTATTTACCATCTCCCCCCTCTCTCTCTCTCTCTCTCTCTCTCTCTCTCTCTCTCTCTATCATTCATTTACGCAATCTCCTTAGGTAGGTCACTCGATGGTTCCCTTTGAGGTTTTCTCTTGTTTCAGTGTGTCCTGGAAGTGTTAAATTCTCTAAGCCTCTTTCTCAAAAAAACGAAAAATCCAGTTGTGTCGTGAGTATCCGTAGAATCGGCAGACCATGAAAATGGTGATCCTCATAATGAACATTGTCAGAATCCTAGACAAAAGATTTTATTAGCTTCATCCAGGAATTCCTCGAAAAATACATTCCAAATTTCAATAAACGTGTAACATTGAAGGCAATGTCGTATTCTATCTCACTTCCAAACTCATTTGCTCGCCAACGCTTACTCTTTCCCTTACTCTCTCTCTCTCTCACTCCTTCTCTCTCTCTCTCAGACTTACTCTCTCACTCTAACTTCTACTCTTTCATAGATCCACACACTGACATTAACTCCTTTCCTCACGCAGTCTCTCGCGCACTTTGACCCTTCCTCTCTCTCTCTCTCTCTCTCTCTCTCTCTCTCTCCCTCTCCCAAGATAACTTCAATTTACTTTGTACATCGCTCTTACATTTTTCATTTTTATTCCCATTATCAATCTCACGCATTTACTCTCTCACTAGCTCGATCACTCTCACTTAATCACTCTTATGCTCTCTCACTATCTCTCTCTCTCTCTCTCTCTCTCTCATTTTCCCTTGACCCCACTCAATCACTGACAATTTCTCTCTGTGTCCTTCTCCCCCCATCTCTCTTTCTCTCTCTCTCTCTCTCTCTCTCTCTCTCTCAGTGTTTTTTCTCATTTTGACTGCACTTGTTAATTTCTGAACACTTTCTAAGGTATTGTTTTTTTGTTTTTTTTCATTTTACATTCATTGATCTTCGAAGGAGGGCTTATCATTGGTGCAAATATAATTATCGATCAATACCCCCCCCACACACACACCGACCGACACACAAGCAGACATATACACACGTGTGTCGGAGTTTCTATACGGCATACGTAGGATCTCAGCTGAAGAAAAAAAAAAGATTGTTTTCTAAAAATCTTTAAAGCAAATTAATCCAGCAAAGTCTGAGAAAAATATTTTATATTGGCAAAAATTATTGAGAGACAATTCAATGACAAACAAGACTGTCCTTTTGCACTCTTCATAAAGATATATTGAGTCCTAAAAAAAAAATTTGCACTCCTTTTTATCTTAATATAGCTGACTATGAGATAGATTGATAGATAGGAACAGAGTGTGATAGATAGATAGATATGATCTAACTCTGAGATAGATAGATAGATAGATAGATAGATAGATAGATAGATAGATAGATAGATAGATAGATAGATAGATATGAACAGAGTGTGATAGATAGATAGATAGATAGATAGATAGATAGATAGATAGATAGATATGAGCTGACTGAGATAGATAGATAGATAGATAGATAGATAGATAGATAGATAGATAGATAGATAGATATGAAAAGAGTGTGATAGATAGATAGATAGATAGATAGATAGATAGATAGATAGATAGATAGATATGAGCTGAGTATGAGATAGATAGATAGATAGATAGATAGATAGATAGATATGAAAGAGTGTGATAGATAGATAGATAGATAGATAGATAGATAGATAGATAGAAATGAGCTGGAGATGAGATAGATAGATAGATAGATAGATAGATAGATAGATAGATAGATAGATAGATAGATAGATAGATATGAAAAGAGTGTAGATAGATAGATAG